AATCGGTTGTGAAAGATTTGGCGAAAGTTTTAGAATGAAAATGATGTTTCAGTTCACTTTCCATATTCAAAGAGTTTTTGAATTAAATTCAATTAATTTAAAATGTTCATTGAAATATTGGAATCCCTTCAAATTTTTATATCCTTCCAGAAATTTAACGTTCATTTCTTTAAAAAAATTCCGTTACTCAGAATTTCGCCTTTAATTGAGTAGTTTTGGTGGACGATACACATTCAAAAAAGTCTGAAAATAAAAAAGTGAACGTTTTTTTTTTGCTTTGACGGTCATTTTTTTAAACGGGCATTTTTTCACAAATTTGTTATCAAAAAGTAGAATTGCATTTAACTGTAATTTCTGAGAAACAAACTGTGTTAATTCAAATTTTTGTGAGAGAAATAAGCACGTTTCTTTTTCAAAAAATGGATAAAGCAAATTTATCCGCATTCTTATCTTCCTCATTCCGCAAAAATTAATGAGGAAAATATTACAAAACATGTGAAACAGAAAATCTCTAGATAATATAATCTTTCTAGTTGAGACAAAATATTAAAGAAATATCATTTGAGAATACCTAACATTTAAAATGTTTCTATTTTTGAAGAAACAATTTAAGTAAAATCGATATGATCAAGTGAATATATCCTCATTTTATTTAAAGAAGACCAATAATTGGAAAATCAAATCGAGTGAAAAATTTGGTTAAAAATTCGGTAAATTTATTTGATGCATCATACATAATAGTATAAATTTGAACAATATTGTATTTTGATATCTTCATCTCAAATTATCAGATAGACATGATTCTGAAAATATTCTCAAATAATCAGATGAGTATTTACGTTCCGGACATATGGCCATTATGGAACATTTTTTCCAATAATAAATGGAAAACATAATACAATCACGGGATTATTAATTTTTTTTTCGAAAAAAGAAAGTGGTCAATTCAATGAATACTGGTTGAGAAATCATGTGTTCAAATTGATTCGTTTTTAGAATTAACCCTTTATGTGAGCATTTTATCGATTACCGATAAAAAAATTGTATCCGAATTTGAAAAATCTCCGTTAAAAAAATCTATTTTGTTTAGCACCATTTTTTTTTTTTTTTTTCCAAGAGAGAAACATGATAAAATCTCCCAACTAAAATAATTTATTTGCAAATATTCGAATCTGTGAATTGAAAATCACAGAAATATGGTGAGAAGTAAATTCAATTACACGATTTTTTCAAAGAGTTCAATACTTTATAGAATTACGAGTGAGCAGATATTTCTGTGTTAGGTTTCCACGATTCATTATGCTTGATTTATTAATGAACAATTTCGTTTGGAAATATATTAAGGAGTCTAGAATTATATTTTAAAAATCGAAATAAATTTGGTGTCATCCATTTTCTTCATCAGCATTCGCTTTCTATCAAGAAAAATCATTTCAAAAATAAATATAAATAAAATATTAGGTTAGTGAAGTATTAGAAAACCTTGACATTGAATGTCAAGCATTCAATAATAAATGATTATTTGATATTGTAAAGTGAAATGAAACCAATCATTGAAAGAAAAAAGTGAAATTTTGTGTCTGAAAATTATTGTTCGAATGATATCAAACTTGATGTATTATTGAAATTTTCTTTTATGCACCTTTTTCATTTCACTTTTAGGTGATGTCAACAGATCAACAATCTTTTCGAGTCGAAAAAGACAGTTTTGGACCAATCAATGTTCCTTCAGACCGTCATTGGGGAGCCCAAACCCAAAGATCTCTTCAAAATTTCCGTATCTCTACAGAAAAAATGCCCCATGAACTGATACATGCTTTAGCACGCATTAAACGTGCAGCATCAATAGTTAACACTGATTTAGGGAAACTTGATTCAGCTAAACGCGATGCAATAGTTAAAGCAGCAGATGAAGTTATCTTGGAACATTTTAAGCATGAGTTTCCACTCAGCATTTGGCAAACTGGATCAGGAACACAAACAAATATGAACATGAATGAAGTCCTTGCAAATATTGCTTCTACTTTTATGGGAGCTGGAATGGGTGATGAAAGGACTGTTCATCCTAATGATGATGTGAACAAAGGTCAATCTTCAAATGATGTTTTCCCAACAGCAATGCATATTGCAGCCGCAGAAGCAATTCATGATCAAGTTATTCCAGCCGTTACTCAATTAAGGGATGCACTTCTTGCAAAGAGTGTTGAATTCAAAGACATAATTAAGATCGGAAGAACTCATTTACAAGATGCAACCCCACTTACATTAGGGCAAGAGTTTTCTGGTTATGTAGAAGAACTGAATGTGTCAATGGAAATCATTCATGACACCCTTCCAAGAATTTACCAGCTTGCAATCGGTGGTACAGCAGTTGGTACGGGATTAAACGCACATCCAGAATTCTCAGATAGAATTTGTGCAGAACTTGAAAAAGAGATGAATATTCCATTTAGGTCTGCACCAAATAAATTTGCTGCACTTGCCGGACATGAACCAATTATTGCAGCACATGCAGCTATTAAAACATTAGCTGCTGCACTTTTCAAAATAGCAAATGACATTAGGTGGTTAGCAAGTGGTCCAAGATCTGGTCTTGGTGAAATCACCATTCCAGAAAACGAACCTGGAAGTTCTATTATGCCTGGAAAAGTTAATCCAACGCAATGCGAAGCTAATACTATGGCATGCACACGAGTTTTTGGAAATGATTGCACAATTGGACTTGCTGGAGCTTCAGGAAACTTTGAATTGAATGTTTATAAACCAGTAATCATTGATGCTTTCATGCAATCAGTTCGTCTCATGAAAGACTGTTGCATATCATTCCGAATCAACTGCGTCGAAGGTATTCAGGCTAACATTGAAAATATTAATAACTTAATGAATAGATCGTTGATGCTTGCCACGGCACTTACTCCATTCATTGGATATGACAAAGCAGCGAAAATTGCAATGCATGCAAACAAACATAATTTATCTCTTAGAGAATCAGCAATTACTTTTGGAGGATTGACAGATGAACAATTTGATGAATGGGTAGTTCCATCAAAGATGATCTAAAATTTATCACCATTTTCATCATAATTAAATAAAAAAGGAGCTTTGCATTCTATCTATTTATATTTCCTAGACTAGTTATGAATTTTGTCAATATTTTTTAACTTAGAAATATATTTATTCATAAAGCTTAACTTTAGGGGGCAGTCATAAATAATTTCTTCTTTAATTAAATATATACTTTGTACACAATCATTAGGAATATTTTAAGGAATAGAAATTGGAAACCTCTTCATTGGCGTTATGTAATTGACAGACAGTAATTCAATCAGCGATTATTGATACTCACTTTATTATACTCATTTTATTGACCTATGTTTATTAATCTATCCTTGAGATTTAGTGAGCAAGTAAAATTTACCGTAATTGTACTTATCTCTCTGTAAAATGTATAACTTTGAAATGTAAAATGTAGAATAGAAAATAGAACTAAAAAAAAAAAAAAAAAAAAAAAAAAAAAAAGATTTCAGCGCAATAGAATTTATTAACAACCAGCTCATAAATGAAATGTTAAAGAAAAATACATCAACACTGCACTCAATGGAATTCCAATCACCATCAGAAAGATTGCAAGAAATGACATAACAGGACGAGAGAATCGATAAAGCTTTAAATAAAAAACACATGGAAACACATAAATCAGAAATACAAAGCCCACACTAGCAACAAAATCAAAAATTGTAATGATGAGTTCAGATATAAAGTTCAAACCAATCGTCAGGAAAATTAGATTCATTCCAAGAATGAAAACTGGAGCCGCATCAAAAGTTCTAACAGTAAAAACAACTGCCGATAATTGGGTAGACAAATAATATGTATATATTTGACTAGAAGTGATAGTGATTATGTATGTAGCAATTCTTCCACAAAAAACCTCAGGCAAATGTGGATCAAAATTATAGAAAAAATTCATTTCTTTTCGATCAGTTGATGCAAAAGTGCAAATCAGATAACCAATAAAATGAACAAATGCAGAAATAATGCCTTGGATCCAAGTAGCACCTAAACATCGACTGATAGTTGGATTATTCATATCACAAAAAATGAGTTGAATCATTGAATGAATGAAAAAAGCTTCGTTGAAGCTGTTTATGCATTCAAGTGAACTTTTTAAATCGCTTGAAAATAATTTCATCTGCTTGCCTTGTGACATCATTGTTTCATTATTCATATACTGATGATAGAAAATGGAAATTGCACAAATCATGGCGACAAGAACAGAAATATTTCCAGCATAAGCTATGAATTTCAAATGAGTTAACCGCTTCACTAAAATAATAGGAATAAGTGTAAATGAGTTAATAAAATAGGAAAGAAACCATTTGTTAGTAAGAAAGGAGCTGGATGATGGCCATAGCTCGATTATAAAAAGTTGCAAATTATGATATATTTCATATGTGTGCCAAATGATAAAAGAAGAGAATATTGCGACATTTAAAAAAATGGGAATAAATCTAAATCGATGTCCGAATATAATCGAAAATAAATCAGTGTAATTGTACGCAGCCCCAAAAAACCAGCATTTGATATATAGGTGGATTGACAGCTGCATTAAAAGAAGGAGGGCGAAACATAATAAAAATGCTTGAATAATGCCACAATCGTAGTTTTGAGACGACATAAACGGGTCGGAGGCGATTCCGATTTTCAATAAAAACATAACGGCGGTAAACATAGAAATTCGATCTTTTGTAGGCGCAGGAGGAAATAAAACGAAGTTACGTTCTTTTGTTTGAGCTTGAAAACGAAAATCGGAGACGCGAAGATCGCCTCCGAACATGAAAAAAATTGAGATTGAAAAAGTCATTTTTTGTATTATTTTAGACTATAAATATTTGTAAAATGACGTGAGAAAATGAAATATTCATCAGATTCAAGAATTAAATTGATCTTTGTAAAAACAAATATTGATTAAAAAAGATAGATTTAATGAATGAATGAAAGGTCATCTGGCCGAGCGGTCTAAGGCGCTAGTTTTAGGCACTAGTCTGAAAGGGCGCGGGTTCGAACCCCGCGGTGACCATTTTTTCTATTTTTTTTTTTTTAACATTTCATTCACTGGCTAGTAATCTGACTTTTGTATTATTTCCTCTACATTTAACTCCTAATGGATATTTTATCTTATACTTTAATTTTTACTCCTGGATAATTCCAGGATTTACTCAAATTATTTTTTCCTTTCGTCAAATATTTCTTATTTCATGTTCCTCTTTCTTCTTATCTTTTTACCGCCCTATTTTCCTACATTTTTCGCCTTTTGTTCTCATCCATCACCGATTTTTCCGATCAATTAAAATAAAATCGATCATTTTTTAAAAACTATCGTTAATTTAAAATTTTATCAACTTGTCTCAAATTTATGAAAAGCAATCAAAGATTTCAAACATATATTGAAATATCAATTCAATAATTCTGTTTAATAACAAAAAATTAACTAGTTTATTTATTATACTAATATTATATTGAAAAAATTCTATAAATGTGGTAAATCAAAAAGTTTAACTGTAGCAGCTTATAAACAACGTTCTACGTAAGTTGTTATCAAAAAGTTCGACTTTTGAAAGCTTTACGTTATCAAGTTCACTTCCACTCACATGAACTGCTTCTCTGCCTCACTCTCCGCAACTTCCCCTGCAGCCTCCCCATCGCATTCCATATCATCGACTCCATCTCCATCGCAACAGCCATCCCAAAGTAACTCATTCTCCACTTCAATCCCACAATTTTGGTGGATGCTTTCCGACGATGACAAATGTCGATACACTTATCTTAAATTCAACATATCATCAAAGGCGTTCAAAAGCCAGCGTAACAAGCGAATTGAAACGTTTTCTGAAATCCTCAATGAAATTAAAGGATTTGTTGTTCGTGGCACAAAAGACGACATTACACGCGGCCTGGTTTGCGGTGTATGCTGGCTACCCGAAGGCATAGCCATCAATACTCATCAGTTACGTTTCCTCATATCGAAATGCAAATCATCAATTAACGGGTCCCTCCAAAAAATGGGGTACAATTCTTCACTCGGGCGAACAGAGGCAGCAATAGCAATATCGAATGCCTTTCCAATCCTGAAGGATAATAACACAGAATTGAGAAAATGGACTGTTCGGAAAATTGGCACTTTTTCATCAATCAAAAACCCAGAAAATGTGAACTCACTCAACTCAATTATAACTTCTAATAAAATCGATTCTCCATCACCATTCATTGATTCAACCAACAGCAATTCAAGTGAAAATGAAACTGATGGAAAACCGAAGAAATATTTCACCATCTCACTTGAAGGACTTGCATCTTATAGAAATCACAGAAATTCGATTTCTTCTCGTCCCCCAACACCTGTTAATTCACAGCAAAATCAAAATCATTCAACTTTCAATATTGTAATAAATAACAACAATACAGTACATCAGCAAAGACGGTTTAACGAATATAATACATTAAATTCAATGAGTAATTTCACATGCATTGTGGAAAATAGCAATCATGATTCGAATCTTGCCTTTTATAATGACATTGTAAGTGAAAATAGTGAGAGTACAGAATATAGCGAGTATAATAACGATTATCTTGATAATTATTCGATGAATACCGATGATAGCAATACTTTGTATGAAAAAGATGATGTTCTTGATTTTAATGTTGATCAGGGAGTATTTTGGCAAATGGATCAGATCCAAGATGAACTCGGACTGTTTTCTTTAGATTCTAGAAATGAATTTTAAAAATAGAATTAGAAATTTTAGTGTTCAATTAAAAAAATTATTTGTATTTTAAATGGAATTTTGGACTTTCTTCTGATTCTTTCTTTATCGTTTTCTTTAAGTTGTTTAGTAATTTTTTCTATCATCAAGGACAAATGTTTAATGCACAAGAAAAGTTTTAGAAAGAAATTTTAAACAGAAGAAATGCTTAAAAATAGAAAAAAAGTATTTAAAATAAAAGAAATGCTCAAAATAAAAGAAATGCTTAAATGAAAAGAAAAGCTTAAATGAAAAAAAATGCTCAAAAGAAAAGAAATGCTTAAAATATAAGAAATGCTTAAAATATAAGAAATTTTTGAATAACAAAAGAATAGATTAGGAATAGACACGAAATATATAAAAATTGTACTTTTATGAAGGGTAAAACATCAATTTATTTTTCATATTAGTTTGGTGAAAAGAAAAATAAATATAAAACTCAAACTTGACAACAATGATGACCAATCAATCATTTGTCATTTCATTAAATACAAATAAAAACATGTCCTTAGAAAGCTCAACAGTTGCAGCTACTTGCTGGCTGTTCAATTCGAACATATTCTGTTTGCTTCGCATCATTTGGCAAGCCAACATTCAAAAGTGCTTCTCCAACCCTTGTAAACATTTCTCTGACATTTTTTCCTGTCATTGCCGATGTCAGCTCAAAAATCACGTTGTTTTCTTTAGCCCAGGTTTCAAAAGGCTCTGTATCGATTTCATCCAATAAATCAATTTTATTTCCACAAAGCACAGAAACGGGCGATTTCCCAATTTCTTCACATAGTGAATAAAACCAGTTTTTAGCATTTTCAAAAGATTGTTCAGATGTGATATCAAATATCACAATTAATGCATCAGCCGTTCTTGCGTAGAGGGGAACAATACAGTGGAACTTTTCGTGTCCAGCTGTGTCCCAAATGTTCAATCGAATGGTTTCGTTTTTAAGTTTAATAGGAACTTGAATATAAGATGCAGCAATTGTCGGGCTTTCGTTTATATTAAATGTTCGGCGATAGAATTGATTGACGAGGGAGGTTTTACCAACGTTGGCATCACCAATCATGACTACTTTGTATTCAGTGTCCTCTGCCATTTTTGATTATTTTGGAGAAATAAAGTATTTAAAAGTGAAAAGCGCATTCAAAAATTGGACAAGTACATCAATTTCAATCATTATTCAGTCATATATTCATAACTTTCTTTTCATTATTGAAAAATGAAAGGTCCTTCAAAATTGATAACCAATCTGACTTGTTTGAAGTCGATGTAAGTTACTCATCTTTGTCGTAATTATCCTACTTTTTGCTTCATGAGAAGAACAATAAGAGATATTACATGAAAAGACAACTTCAAACTGTAGGTTTCAAAAATTTTGCATAATATGAATAAAAAACACGCTTATTTTCGAAATTTTGGATTTAAACTGAAAATTATCTTCTATTATACTATATTTATCGTATAACAAAGCTATAATAGCATATGAGTACCTTCATAAAATCATTAATTTTTGAGACAATTTTAATTTTTAAAATTCGTGAAACTGCTCCTATCACATTGACATATACTATCTAGTAAATAGCATCTAATAAGCATTTAATTATGAGAAGGAATTATTAAATTATAATAGGAAAAAATTCCTTTTTCAAGTTATTTTATTTATGATATAATTCCATCATCATCTACAAAATTCGTTAAATAAAAAGCTTAAATCTCCATGAACGTTGTTTATGATAATCTAATTAATATTTTTATATTATATTTGGACGAAATTTATGAGTATCATATTTGACGTATTCTACATCATATATAAGAGTTATAATCATTAAGATATAATAATTTTGAATTTATCATCATAATTTCCAAATTATTATTTTGGTAGAGATTAGTTTCCATATTGATTATTATGATATATTTTATTATTTTCTATGTTAGCACTCATATACTATACTATATGAAAAAACGCTATTAATTTCACTAGGCGGCCCGCTCACTTCATTTGGGTTGATCATTTTTCATACAAAGCAAAATTGAGATTATCTTATGTTTTTTTCCAAATTTATCAGGTGCCTGAACATATTTATACTTTGATATCCGAACAATACACATTGTGCCAATTACATCGAATGGATTATTGTTTAAGAGTTTTTCAAAAATATCAGATATGTTTACTTCACAAAATCAAAATATTCATTGAGGTTATTCAAATATTTTGAAAGATGAATTCAATTTTCTGATAGACTAGAAGCGCGCTTCACTTTTCCTTTGAATATAAATTTGTCCAGATGATGGTTCATTTCATCACTCCACTTTCAAGCAATGCAGCTTTACACAAAGGACCCTTCTGACTACAAAAACGAACCAATCTTTATGGGAAAGAATAGAAACGTTCAAAGATACGACATCCAGAAATACCCTTTTTTCAATGAACGAGCCAAAGTGATGCGTGGTCTTTTCTGGTCTCCTGAAGAAGTCAACATGAGTAAAGACAGAACAGACTATCAAACACTTTCTCCAGGTCTCCAACATGTTTTTGTGAGTAATCTGAAATATCAAACATTGTTGGATTCTGTTATGGGTCGATCATTGATGATGACTGTTGGACGTGTAGTTACAAACCCAGAATTTGAAGAATGTCTTGCATGGTGGGACACTTTTGAAGTTCTTCATAGCAGAAGCTATTCCCATATCATTCAGGGGATTTTTGATAATCCAAGTCCAGTTTTTGATGACATTCTCGTGAATGAGTTTATTATCAAACGATCACAAACATGCATCCGCTACTATGATGAACTTGAAGAAGCTACAAATGAATACGCTGTTCGAAGAAATACCAATCCAATGGTTGGAGAAGATCTTGATTTCCTCAAAGAAAGAATTCTTCTTGCACTTGTAAATGTGAACATTCTTGAAGGAATTCGTTTCTACGTTTCTTTCGCATGCTCTTTTGCATTCGGTGAAAATAAATTAATGGTTGGAAATGCATCAATCATTAAGCTCATCGCAACTGATGAATGTCAACATCTCATTCTTTCTCAGTATCTTCTAAAGATTCTTCAATCGAATGAAAATGAAGGCTTTGTTGAGCTATGGAACAGGAATATTGAAACTATTAGAGAAATGTATCGTGTCGCATTTGAAGAAGAGAAGGAGTGGGCTTCTTATCTCTTTAAAGATGAAGCAATGCTTGGATTGAATGAACCAATTCTCGTTGAATATCTCAAGCATATTCTTTATCAGAGAATGGCTGCTATCGATCTTGAGCCAATCGTCGAAGAGA